CCACAGGACTGCCGCTCATTGGATGTTTTTTCTTTTTCGGACCATTCTCTGTAAACCCTAGAGATGGTTGTGCGTGAAAATCCCAGTAGATCAGCAGTTGAGTTGCCGCCATGTGATTGGCTGATTAGAAATTAAGTGTTAACGAGCAGTTGGACAGGTGTACCTAATAAAGTGGCCGTTGAGTGTACTACAGTGTTGTAAAGTATAGTATTGTATGATATAGTACAGTAAAGTACATTATAGCACAGTGTAGTACAGTATGGTATAGTACAGTAAAGTACAGTATAGATGTAAGTCATTACATCTTGAGTTTGTGATAATGATCATGATGATGACGATGATGATGATGAATGTGCTGCTGCCGTTCTAAGTTTGGTTCTGTTGTTGTTGCAGGTGCAGCAGGCGGTCCGGTCTTTGATAGATCGACACCAGAAGATCCCGGGATGCATCTTAAGGGCCCTGGTAGAGAGAATATACACCAAACACAAAAACAACTAATGACAGGAGGAAATGAGACAAATGTTCAGTTTGTGACCAAAACCAGTTGCCAGAACAACACGATGACTTCAGTTAGGAAAGAACTGATGAGCCAACATGGTGAAATAACTGCACAACTTTCCCCGGAGAGCAACTATTGTTCCTTCTACATTCTACATGCTGGTGTTCTGGACTTTTCTGCTGTGACTCTTTTGATTATGATTATTTTTTTCTCCCAGGAGGAAAGAGTTTAAAGGTGAACTTTCTGAAGTAATTTTGGCCTTCATATTAATTCTACCTGAAACAGGATGAAAACAAAAATATATTTTTGTACATATTTGCACAAAATAACAAATGAACATATACTTTAGAAGCATTGGTAAACAGGTGGTTTATTTATAAAGAGAATACTACATGCATCAGCTACAGATCTATGGAAGTTCCTTATCGTAACATCCATTATATGGAGACTGTAGAAAATATATAGAAAAATTATGTTTATCAATCAAATTGATCATCAACTTTTTTGCCTTGTTGTTGGCAGATATTTATACCTGATGAAAGTATAAGTGTAATGATCAAACCTGTACAAAAGTGTATCAGAGGTCGAAGGTCAAAACTCTCTGGTGCAGTAGAAAGATAAAAGTGTGTGTGTGTGTGTAAAGTGTATCACATTTGTCATGTTTTACACAATATGTTAATTTTACTACATGATGCAAAATAACCCTGAGCACAGTTACTGACCTGCTTTTCTTTGTTTCTAAACTAAAACTGATTCACATGAAGAATGATGCAAGTTCTAGTTTCTGTGTGTGTGTGTGTGTGTGTGTGTGTGTGTGTGTGTGTGTGTGTGTGTGTGTGTGTGTGTGTGTGTGTGTGTG